ATTTTTTTAGGATAGATTTAATCCTTATGTAGTTACGAAACTAGGCTAACAGGTGAATGTCAATACTTAACGTGGAGATTTTGATAACTCATCTAATTGTCTGATACACCACACAGACACATATATTACTCCTATTTTCATCTTTACATACTCTATATCATAGACTCATCTGAAACTATCAAAAGGGATATATAAAAACTTAAATACCAAAATAATCAGAATTAGTAAAATACTAAGCACCAAAAACACCGATTTAAAATTTTTGAACAACTTTGTGTTGATGGATGCATTGGCAAATGGAGTTAGCATAGGTAGAGACCTTCTGTCTACCCTGGGATGTCTGAACTTCTTCATCAATCTTCTGCTCCAGATATTTAAAAGAAAAAAAACACTGAGATGTGCTTTAAAACAGAATCTGATAGTATCCCTAGCTGGATACCTGGCTACAAAATATATCAATTCACTGTGTTTGCAAGCTGAGCAAGTAAAATGGGAAATTACTCACTGGTAAGGAAATGCTGAGAAGTAGGGCCAAAATCCCTGTGAGCTTCATGCAGTTGCCTGATGCGCTCATCAATGGCCACCTGCAAAGATAGGAGAAAAAACTGACTCTGTTCTCAACAAGTAACAAGCAGCAATTAAAGACAGATACTTGTCTCATTAAGCAACATTCTCTTTAAAATTAAGACATCTCCTGCAACAATCTACCATGCTGAAGGATTTAACCGAGCTTTAATGTGTCTGATCCATAGGCAAAGAGGTTTGGTTGTTTGCCTTTCTTCTAACTCATGCTAGAACAACCTCAAAATGAACTGGCTGGTAAATAAATGTACAGCAAACAGGCCTGACCATATGCACCTAAAAAGAATATGACACTGATTTCTTGTTTGCCAATATTGAAGTCAGTAAATTTCTTCTCTGTTAAATATTATTGGAACTACCATGAAAGAACTTTTTGGGAGTCAACTGTTATAAATCACCCTATGAAAAGTAATTTCTTCTAATGTAGATGTCATAACCACATTTTAGAAGAATGCTGGAATGAGTGTAACCAAATGGCATTTCTTTGTTCTTTCATTTCTTCCCTGGAAGATGTCCTTTGGAGAACATGTTATTCTTAGTGTTTTGGTGGGTTGATCTACTATAAAAGGACACAGATGCCAACTGTAAGAGCAGTTTTATCTTTGCACTTCAGAAAGCTCAATATAGCATGAAGCCAGCAGCTGAGAGCAGGTAGGTGTTACAGATATATATTCCAAGCTCCCAAAGTTTATGAATGACATTGACCAGCAGCTTTATGCCTTGTATTCTAAAAGGACACCAACAATTAAATTAGCCTAAATATAGCATTGGGTAAAGCAGGGAAAATGATTAACACTGATGACAGACTATTTCCAAAATGTTTTAAATAAAACAACTGGCACGAAGCAGCTTCACTGGATTTTAATATTGCCTGTAGGAAGAAGTGTTGTGTCAACAACAGTAAAGCAAACAGTGAAAAAGCTGGGTCTGTTTTGATTGTCCTAATCGTGAGATACGTTACCAGGAAATAAACGGTATGCATGAGTAAAAAGTAAGTCACATTCTAAGACATTCAGGCTATTTTGGTTGGTAGTAGAGGGGATCTTATTTGTTTACCAAGAAAGCACAAAGCACACAGCACCTTGCTCCCTTAAGCACAACTGAAACATAGCAAGAGGACGTTAGCTGCTTTGCTCACCATTTTCAAACAACACGTCCCAAAAGTCGCTTTCCCTTCCCTTCCTTTGCCTTCCCTTGCTTTGCCTTCCCTTCCCTTGCCTTCCCTTCCCCCTTCCCTTCCTCCTTCCTGCTTCCTTCCTTTCCCTTCCCTTCCCTTCCCTTCCCACTGTACTTCAAACGCTTTTCCTGCTGCTTCTTCTGCTTCTGTCCCTTCTTTTCTCCTCCAGCTTCCTATGCGCAGATACCATAAATCCCTTTGATTTGCTGTCAGCCCCCCTTGACAAGCACCTCCCCACACCACTCAGCTACTAGCACATGACCCGGGGCCCTCTGCTCTTCTTCCTCATGTTTTCCTCAAGGCAGAATTGCTTGCAGAGCAGCCTTCATTTCTCCTACTAGTTTTTGGGTGGGCACATGTAGGCTGAGCCCAATAATCTGTGCTTTTGTGCCTAATACTGGTGATTGCTTAGCTAGACAAAACTAAGCCTGAGAAGAGGGGAACTCTGGATAAATTCTCAATTTGCAGATAAAAAGCAGACAGATAAGGGGTAATTTAGACCTAAACTCACTGGCCTTTACATAGATGCTCTACTGAGTCATGATCCATAGCTTAGATCTGTGGCACCACTGTGGATGGCACCTGACTTAAGGCTTGAGCTTGCACTTATTTCACCATGTAGATAAAAGTTAGGAAGGCTGTTGAGGGCTAAACTCAGAGCTGCTTCTGGTCATCAGCATCAGTAGCTATAGAAGCATTAACCAATAAACTCGATCAAGATCAAGATGGAAGAATTTGGTTTTAATTGACCAAAATCATCTTTCTATATGTGTTTTTAGCTTAAAAACAAACAGCAGGATTTCTGTGGTCAAAGATACTTGAACTATTGCTTTTCTTCTCTGAAAATACTTGCTTGAAGATACATGCATTTCCATTACTTATTTAATACACTGTTTCCTTTTGTATTTATCTTCTTTCAGTCATAACAAATGGAAGAGCTATATATTATATGTGAATCTGAAGGATGTACTAAAAAATCATATATTAAGTGGTAATGACATAGAACATAAATATCTTATGCTAACAAACCAAACAAAATAATTTATTTATTTATAGTACATCTCATTTTTTTTAAATAAAGAGAATTTGAAAACATAAAATAAATTTACTTCCTATTATTTGAACACAACCATGTGAACTGAGAACCAGTTAAACAGATTACGACGATAAAAAGCAAAGCTATGTTTCCAAGAACTATTCAGGTGTCAACCTTGAAATGACTTGCTATCCAGAATAAGGATTTTCCATATTTTACTTGGGTCAACTGCTAAATGTACTTCTGTTAGTTTTGCCTGTTTGGCTGAACATTTTTCTTTCAAGATTAATTTGTGCTATGTCTAGGCTAGAAACAGACCTAGAGCAAAAAAGAAAATTAAGTGTTTTGACTCTCAACATTTTCCACATTCTTAAAAAGCACCTTGCTATTAAAATGTGTTGCAGCTATTGAGTTTTTCATCACATGGTTAAGTTGTGTCTGCAAATAATGAATGTTCTCAGCAAAGATCTATCTGTATAAACGGTCTCTCTCTATCCAGGAACATTATAGTCTTGGCTGGACAAATGCAAACCAAGCATAGCCAAGGGCTAATCCTATGTCCCGGACCTACTCCAGATATATTCCCAATAGCTTTGATGTTCCGTTGAACAACTTTGGTAGAGGAAAAAATGTCAGGGTTATTTTTCACAGAAATGTTCACTGAGCACTAGGCTAAAACATGCTCTGTAAAAGCGGTGGCTCAAATGCTGTATACAAGTGAAGGGGACTCCAGCTCTTAGCCGAGTACCTTCTCAAGCTCAGCATGCCTGCAGCATGCCAGCTATTCACTTGGATCTCACATGGGAATTCTTCCAAAAAAGAATTTTAAAGGGTCATAGTCAAACACTCAACCAAGTAGTTGATCATGTTTAGTAAGGAAACTTCAGGCAAACGGGGAATATTACAGGTGAAGACATGGATGCCTCTGTCCTTGTGAGCATTGAGGCTGTTCAGAAAGAGACTTCGGCAATTTCTAGCTGCATGTCAGGTGCCCAAATTACAAGTCAGCAGCACTTCTCTAACCCAGCTGTATTTGGGCCTGCTACCTTTGATACAGTTAAACAAAAAGACATACAGAAATACTAAAATGTTAGATTTATGTTAAACATCACGTACCTAACTTCCTCAGTAATGCACTAAAATAATGTTTCCTGCAGTTTGCTTGGGGCCCACCACTTTATTTATCAGACATGCATCTGATATTTAAGATGATTTTTATTGTTCCTAGTTAAAAAAAAAGTCTTTTGTCTCTGATGCTCAAGGAAATGAACGGCAGCTTCTACTGCCACTATTTTTAAATAAAAGCACACTGTTACTAAAACAACTTCAGAGTATTGTGTAGTGTTCTGATAGGGAATTTTTAGTCCCATAATGGGTGAAAGAAAAAACAATATAAAACAAAAAACTGTATTCAGTTTTCCCTCTTGCTGATTCATCATTTCTAAATGAAGTGCTAGCTAAGTGCTAAAGTCCTGACACAAAATGCACAGAAAAAAATGACTTCTTTTTTTTTTTTTTTTTTTTTAAGAAAATGAAACATTTCCTCACCAGATTTTCCTGGACATTCTCACAATGGAGTGTAAAATGTATACTGAAGATGGAAAAATATTAGAACATCTTCCAATCCACAAAGAGCACAACTAAAGATAGAGAAGGGGAAACAGGTTTCTTTAAGGTCTACTGTGTCACAAATGAATCATTTTTTATTTTGAGATCAGAGATAGAAGAACAGAGAGGTCAGGTGGATCTCACCTATCCCACTTCGTGAAGTCAAACATTTACATTTGAATTTAACTTCTTTAAATTATTATCCATTTAAAACACAACACAGTACAAAGTCTTGGGAGGTTAGAATAATATCCTTTACATAAGGGCATCTAAGGGCACAAGCAGCATAATATATAGAAACTATTACATAATTAGGCTGCCCAATATTCAAATGTAGGCAAATTATAGAAAGAAAAAATTTTTACTACTTATTGAGAAGGATGCATAATAAAACTCACAAGTAGAACTGATTAAAAAAAAAAGCATTACATAAATAGCTAAGACAACTGTAGAAGAAAAATGGATGAATATGTCTGAGATTCTGAGGAAAAATGGCAAGGAAGGAAGGAAAAGAACAGAAGATTCTCATCCAAACAGCTATTTTTAGTGCAGCAGCTCAATGATACAATCTCTGCTTCGAAAATTTGCTTCACCAAAGACTGCTTTTATGAAAAGGACAATTTTCTGTATTTAAGAAGCATGCATGCGTACAACACTTAATAAAACAGCAATCCTTTAGTTCCCCAGCATATTTGCAGCATTTCCTCAGCATCCTGACCCTGACTCCAACCATATCCCATCCGACTGCATCTCAAAGGCACCTGCCTTCCACAAGGTGCTCGTTAATGCTGCCCCGCGCTCCTCCTCCCCCCGCTGAAAAGCCTCTTTCTTTCCTCGCCCTGAGTCAGGGCTGCCAAACCAGGACAAGCCTGTTCTTTGCAAATCAATAAACAGGAAGATCTGATCTACCCTGCTACCAATAGCTACTGAATTCAGTCACTCGCTGTTCCTCACGGATTAGGAGATAAGGAGGGATTTAAATAAGCACACTTTGTGCTGCTAATGAAGGGCAGGCACTGGAAAAGGCAATTGACACCCATACTTCTACTCCGTAGAATTTCAAGTTTAAGTCTTGGTGTTTACTCAGACTAAAGCAAACAAATCAGCAACCCACTTCCTGGTGAAAGTTCTGTAATGGGATACATTTTGAGATGCATATAAATTATCTTGAAATTATTTAA